GTCATAGTGTTCTGTAGTTCGAAGCAGATAAACTTCGTTATCTGGTGACAAAGTGCGGCTGTGTTCGTGAACTTGACTGGAAAATTGTCATTATCGTCAACGTTTTCTATTTCATGCTCCGTTACATTGTGTGATTGCTTTATAAAGAGCATCTATCTAAAGTTCTATCACTTATCGATTTCATATCTTAAGGACTTCAGAGAATACTAGAGTAGATAATATATGTTCAATGTTACTGCGAAAATGCGATTTTCTTTTTTCAAAAATATTTTCAAATAATTTTGAATTATCAAGAAGCACTTGTTCGTCTACGCCTACCTTATCGTGGCCTTGAAGTAAATTAATTTCGTGATAATTAAATGCCGTCATGGTTTCTACGTTACTTGACACCCGTCCCCGTTACATAATTAAACATGCCTCTACTCGCGGCTTCCCAGTGTAACAATCTTTGAAAATTTTAGGAAGACTTAGAACAGCGCGTCGGTGTTCTCTTTGTAATCATTTATATGTTCTTGATATTTATTCGTATAATTGAAAATGTTGTTTCTAAGATTCATATGAACAACAATGGTTGCGAAACAATCTTTTGAGTATTGAACAAATTAAATTCGTCTTCATTTACGGATACAGCTTCGATAGTAAGATGGTTACTAGAGCTAAGCAAGAAGCTTACCTTTCGATACCCAAGCATCCTTGGCATGTAGCAGGTTTCTGTTTTCTCTGTTTGGACATGAAGTTCTCGTCATATTACAATGGGACCTCCCAGAGGAATAAAGGTGTGAAATCATACTTTCGGTTGAGTAGTGAATAATACTAAAGATCACAATCTAGATTATGAACCACAATAAGAACTTACTGATAACCTTATATGCTAAATGGTTTATTGAGGTAGGCACAACAAAGAAAAATAAATTACAATAACAATATTCAGGCTTGAAGGTTACAGGAAGTTGCCTTTTACGCTACATAATAATCTGTTTGTATACATAAATGAATCTGTAATTTTTTTTAAACTTAATACTTTGTTACGCCTTAGAGAAATATCTCATTGCAGCAGCCAGGAATTGGCCAGAAAGATTGAAACACGAAACGTGTCGATTTTGGCAAACTTCTTATTTCCATCCGCAATCATTAATCTTTTCGTACAAACTTGAGGTTTTCTTATGGGGATAAAGGGCAACCGAACTGACGGTGACATGATGTGTTCCGAACCGCCCATGGACTAAAGGTGGAAATATGTTTACATTTAGTAGGGCACCGGATAATATTCCAAAAAGTTTCGAACTACATTGGAATGCCCCAATTAGATAGTAATAGAAATGATACTTTTCTTTTTTATAAGTGAGTCTACGGTCATGGCATTTACATTGCTATCCCTATGGGAATGTTATGCCGGGTAGAAATTTATCTACGTATCTCCTTTTTGTACAACGTTTGGCCTTTGACCTTTCGTTTCTGCCTATTTTTCAAGTCTACTTTGGACTATTGAGTTTCTTACATCAATTTATAGTTTTAAGAAATACCTAACAGTCGAGGTTTTAAATCTGCGATGCTTAGTTAACAGTCGCAAAAACACTTATGACGTCTTAACAACGACTCAGTATTACCATTTCTAAAATTAACCTACAATAAAAATGTTCTTCGAAATACTTTTCTATTAGATAAAATATTAAACGTACCTAGTACCTATATTTACTTAGCCTAAAACTGTTACTTCCATTATTGGCTAAGTTGTTCCAAAGTAGTTTGTAGACAATAGTGGCGGTGCGAATCCTGTAACTTTCAAGGGATAATGGGCCTTTGGAAGGAAAGCCTAACATTAGCACTTTTACGCTAAGCCGGCCACGAATCTGTTAGAGAGAAATAAAAAGTTCCATCCTTTGTGTTAGGATTTTTAATTAAATGAGAATTTTCTAAAAGTTTTCGCTAATTACTTTACACTAGAATTCGGATCGGATTAAACATTGTTTATATTATAATTGAAGTTTGTATCAGTTACACTGTCTGACTTTGACTTGAAGGGCCCCTCCCCTTAAATAGAAAGACTAACTAACTAATATGCGTATTAATTCCGTAGTTTTGAAATAATTATTTGTTTTAGTTTCATATTATAATAGATATTTATTCTGCGATACGTGACCGTTAATGACATGAAAAACCATATTTCTTGAAAAGTTATGTTAATATCTCAACGACTTTGGACAGAGGCGAAGTATTTGAAATTATCAACATTTCAAATTCCAATTCTAACACACTAAGATCTAAAATGTGAGTAGCTACTAGTAATATAATTATATTCATAATAGAATACAATAAAGCAGCATGAATTTGAAACACTGAGAGTCCTGTTTCAATAGGTATTATAAAAAATCTGAATAATTCAAGCTTTTTCATAATATTCCTGAATAAATATATCTTAAAATAAAGTCGCTTTTGAAGAATCTTTTGACACGAATGAATATTCTGATTGTATGATTGAACATGTCGTGTGACTCGAAATTATAGATGAATATTTTGTGACGCACAAATAGAATTTGCGATGGAAATGTATCAAAGGGATTTTATTTCTGTGATGTTCAATATTAACAGTGTCACAGTGAGTCGCTTGAAAGAATTTAGAATTCCTGAACGTCCAATTGGTACCTATTACTTTTACGATCCGCCCAAGATCAGGATCGTAAATGGAACTTCGATCGCTGACGTTTTATTTTGATGTCAGATTTTGATTTCTGCGAACTCTTATTTGGACTAAGAACTCCCAAAGACGTAGTTTACTTCCCCACTGTCATATAAAATTCTTCCACAAGGAAACTTTTGTTCGAATTGAATTTCGTGCTTTTGATTCGTTTAAAGTTACCTAGTTGGCAACAGCGAGTTTTTTTTTATTGTTTTAACAATTTTATGGTCGTGCTGCGCTAAGATGGCCTCTAAATAGAAGAGCTGATTATGCGGAAGAATTTTTGATTCCGTGCCAAATATTCCATAAGAAAATTAATACCACAGTGGTATAATTCATTTGACAGAATTTCTAACACACTACGTACTAATTTAATTAATTTTATGTCGAAGTGACAGTTTGAAATGCTTGTAATACGATTGGATATACATCTTGGAATTAACGATACACGTGGAAAGCGGTTACTATCAATAATTAAACCACCAAATGTCTGAATCAGTAATGGCGACGGTTTGAATTGTTACGCAGCCTGTCTTAGTCACTGCTTCGGTATCTATTTGTTAACATTATTCAAGATCTGAGACCGATCAAATAATTCTCAAATACTTGTTTAATTTTATAATTATTTATTGAATTTAAAAGTTTATTTCTTTACTTAAATTTAGTGTCAATTAAAAAGTTTTCTTAGTTAAGATACTAGTCAAGTAAATATTAAACTAAGGTAAAAGATTTAGTTGAATAGAGACATTGCTTTGTTAAAGTTTATTATTGTCTTTCTTCTAAATGATAAGTGGCTAAATAAGGAACTATTATATACAATTAAAAGGAATGCAAATTTAAGATGGAATCAAATCAGATATTAATATACACATCGGGAATTTATGCCGCCAAAAGATTTTACAGCTTCAATTTCGAATTTCGTCGACAGATTTATGCCGGTCAGACGTTTGACAAACGGCCTTAAACTCCAAAATATTTGGTCGGATTTACCTAAAGTGTGATACGTAAGCTCAATGGATGGTTTAAGCCCAATCTGGTTGGATGACAGGCGTTGGTAATGAACGGTGATTTGCTATATAACCACTTTTGGCTTCGATCCATACATGCGAATGTGGTTTCACAAATTCGTGTTCGCACTGCATTGTGGGACGGATCCAGTCATTCGAATCGTTTTGATGTTACAACGGATTCCTGAAACCACATTCTTTATTGTTGACAGATTTACGCTGTTGGCTAAAATAAATTTTACTGAACCAGCTATGCATCAACGCACGTGACGAGTTTCACTTGAATGTTGAGATATCTCGTAGATATCGTATAAACTCAAGTCTGCTTGATTTGATGATATTGAAATACCACAACACTGCATATTATGAAAAATCATAAGTTACAGAGAAGAAATAATAGCAAGATTAATATAAATCCGTTTGTAAATAAAAGAAAATTAATGATTCATTACGAACTCTAACCAGCGTTGCATTTTCCTTTGTACTCTCGGCATTGTTATATCAAAATAGTAACACTGTACCGCCCACGAGTACAGATGAATGAATCGTAGTTATTTCCGTAACAAAACAACTGAAGACTTAACACGAGTTCGTTTTACGTAAAGTAATCGAAACGAGACCGCGTCCGGTGCTCTGATTCGTTGGTTCAGTGCAGCCGGCCAATCAGTGCGCCGAATGCGGACTCATTTCTATTACCTACTTTAAATGTCAAATAAACTCGTACTAATAAGCCCTCTGTACGTTGCAGAAGAAGCAATAATATTGAGAGGCGCTCTGCGGAGGACGGTTGCGGTCTGTGGTCACTACCACGACTCGGATTACTCGCCCTAGTTCTTATGTGACTTCATTTAGAAGTAGTCCCATTCAGACCAGTAATAATAGTCCAATTAAAGACTCGTTCAATGGCTGTCATTACTGCAGTCACTCTTAATCCAGAGCAATGTGGTAATAAGGATGATGATTGAGCAAAAACAAATTCGGTGATTGTACTTAATGTTAAACAGTCATGTTTGTTGATGAGTTGTCAAGTGCAGATGGCACGATGGTGTTGAATTTTTATTTCTCTGAAAAACTTCTTACCTAAATTAAGTAATTTTATACCAGTTAGTAACTTTGTCCAGTAACTGGTGTAAAATATCATCTCACATTTCGATTCGACGCGACGTGACGAATCTGCGTTATGTTTTTATTAAAAAGAAAATGCGTGTCCAGTGTTTTAATGATTTAGAAGACAACAATTTAAATAATCGTCCTTATATTATTAAACATAGAGTTACTTTTTCTGTGTTGTTTATTGGAGTTTACTCTTGTTTCAGGACGAAAGGTTTAACCACGACATTGACCAGCAGACGGGTTACAAAACGAGGTCACTTCTCTGCATGCCCATTAAGGACATTAACGGAGAGGTCATCGGCGTTGCTCAGGTATGTATTGTACACAGTTTCAATCAGGTTTTTGTGAATGATTTGTGTTCGAAATTGTAGGTTAATTATTATCTACCAGTACTACTGTGCCTTACTCACTATGGTCTTTAGTGTCCATTGAACTTTAGAAACGAACCGGAATTGTTTTCATATCTTTCTTGTGGCAATAATAGTTAGCTGTCTTGTTAATCAAGCGTCGGACTTGTTTGGAAAGTCAATAAAAGTGTGAAAATAACATAAATGTTAAGTTATTGTATGGAGTCTTAAGTGTTCTTAGTGAGATGATCTTTGCAAAATCTTCTAATACATCTCAGCCTATCTGCGTGGAATCACAGCCGCAATATTACATTATGTAACACAACAAATAATCTGGCCTACAAGCCACGTATAATTAAGATGAATCGATAGACTCGCCATTTGTCAAAGTCGATTCGCTAAGAGCGATAGGACTGTGAAACAAAAAGCCTATTCCGTGATATAGATCAGCTTTCATCTATACAACCTTAGTTAAACACAATATAAGACTTTTGACTCTCTAAATGGGTAAGTTGGAGACATGTTGGACGATCACCTATTTTTGTTCAGTTATGGGGTTCGATGTAGCAACACAAGCTTTATGGGGTATAATTTCAAAATCTATAATATTAGTGAAATTAAAAAAAAAAAACAATAATACTTTAGCCAACTTGTCAAGTCCTCTTAGTTGCAGTCGCACAACCTCTAAAATAAACAGGTACCTAGTTGAATCACCATCAGTTATATTCGCAGTACGGTATAAAACGATATTGACATTGTTTTTAGAATTATTATCATGAGACATACTAAATTAACTAAAAATCGCGTGCTACTCACGTGAATATACAATATATAGAAAAGCTTTACTACATAGTTTCGAGCCTGCAGTCTGCTTCACTCAGGAAGAGGAAGAAAAGAGACCCTTTGTGGCTCGAAACTAGTAGAGCTTTTCTCAGTATATTCACGTAAGTAACCCGCGATTTTTAGTTAATTTAGTAATGACATCCTCAATACTCCGCTTTTAATATAAAAGAATTAAACATTAATATTTTCATCCTATTACTAATAAATCTTGTTTGCTGAAAGTCTTATACAAAGTAAATTTCAGCCTGTTTACATTTATTTTGAAATGTTGTTTCAAAAACATCTGGGAAACGGTGAAATGAGAGCTTAGCGAAAAAATATGAAATCAAAAAAGTTTCTAGCCTCTTAAGCGTATTAAGTTTTTGGATGTCCTGCACTGAAAATGAAAAATTGGCTAATCGGTCATGGGTGATGTGAACACAATGTCTCAGTATGGATTCTTGGGTTAAAAACATGTAATTACAGACCAAACAATTATGCCTCTTTGGTGAATACAATACAGACTGAATTTATATCACTCTGTACAACTATAAAACTCAAAACAAGATATAGAACTACTGTAACCCCTTCAAAGAACACAGAACATGCATTGATTTCCATGTTAACAAAACTTGTTTTATCTTCCATCTGCTCTTTAACAATGTCCCTAAAGTACAAACAGAATTGGAACGTCAAACGTCACTTCCGAACAAATATTGAAATACGAATGGCGATAATTTTTAATCAAACATTTATTTTTTCCACATAAATTTCCTTTTGATTAACGAGCATCAAATATTGGGGTCGTTTTTGACAGATTTTTTATTTGCCCAAGGAGTCTTGTTTGTTGTTTTGTAAAAAGTTGAAACCTCGCTTCGAATTAGGGTCAGTGAAAATTAAGAGCTGATCTGTGATGATTTTAGTGATAACATAAATTGAATTCAGTATTTGGTAATAGAACGTCCAAATATCATTGCTTTTTCTGATTGAGAAGTCTAACTAAAGTACCTACACAAAACTGAACTACATCAATTATGAACACTAAACTTTGTATTATGCTGATTAATATGGAATTCTATGAAGTCCTTAACAGGGACAATAAACAAATTCATACATTCATCATCATACTACTAGATGTTTTAAATTTACAATATTCTCCCTTACAGGTTATCAATAAACAGAGTGACGGTCCCTTCACGGCCTACGATGAGAAGGTCTTCTCATCCTACCTTCAGTTCTGCGGCATCGGCCTTCGAAATGCACAGCTTTACGAGAGATCCCAATTGGAGGTGAAAAGAAACCAGGTCCTATTGGACCTCGCCCGAATGGTGTTTGAAGAACAGAGTACTATTGAGCACATGGTTTTAAGGATACTTACGCATACGCAAAGTCTCATCAGATGTCAACGAGTACAGGTAAGGAAATTACTGATACATGTTTTTTTATAGCGGTTACTCAATCTTCTGCAGATAGGTCTGTCTAAATTACTTATAGATTTACTAGCGGACCATCCGGATCCACTTTAATGTATAAACAAAAATTCATTCAAATTAGTTCAGCTGTTTAGGATAAATAACCTAAGCAGCGCCATCTGCCGGGCTGATTTGTGAATCTAAACCATTCCCAGATCCCCTTAAAAACACACAAAAAAATTCATCAAAATCGGTCCAGTGGTTTGAGATAAGTTCAGTGACATACACACTCACAGAAGAATTATATAATTATTTGTCATATCTAAGGCATTAAGTCATCATTATAGACCATGTCTAAGGCATTAAGTCTATCTTCCAACATGTTTTTGAGCTGAAGTATATTGGTTTTGAGATATTGAGTCTCTATTAGGCAGTTTCTTTCCTACGCGCTACGGTTGCCATAGCAGATACCAAAACTTTTATTTGTCACGTCTTGTGGAACATTTCTTACAGGTTTGGGAATGGTAGTGACAAATATGTTACTTTATTTTTAACTACTTATTCCTTCTCTATACGTTACTTCGGTAACTTACTCAAAGTTAAGCCCCCTCGATGCACACGCTTCGAAGGGTACAGGTAACGTACCAGATAATACATGGTACAACTTCCAATTGCCATTTATCTTGTTAGTCCAAATGGAAACTTGGGCAGTATCACCCTATCCGAAAAAACTTTGTAATCTGAACCAGGAAAAACGAGTGAAATCCTCAACTTATCACGGTTCTTTACATCTTTGTTTAGTAAAGAGACATCTAAATTGTAAAATAGTTCTAGTTTCCTGAAGCCCAAACTCAAAACTTCTTCATTAATAGTCTTTGTTTCAACTAATACCGTCAAAGACATCATCGCAAGTATTTCAATTAGGGCATTAATATATTGAATTAATTTAATTATCCCTTTGAAGATAGCATGTTTCTTAGTCTTATTTATTATTTCCATAACGTTCCATATTTTATTATTGAAATCGAATTTCAATATCGAAATAAGTTTTGATAAATTGATTCATTCAATCAACGAACAATTTGGGCCGACTCACTTTTAATATCAATTTCAATATAATTCGAAATGCTTTGAGACGAGAAAATTAATTTTGCTTGTTTTCCTAATGAAACGTCGGCGCTGAGGCGTTTTGTTTACTATTAGTGTTAGTGTTGTACCTAAGAATTGTTGAAGTGCTCTAAATGGTGAAAGTTTGAATATTATTATTTCGAATTAATGCTTCGGCTGTACGCAACTATCTTCTGTGATTGAACTTTGCGCTTTAATTCTACAACTCTAACTATCAACTTATTTGACAAAAGCGTGCGAATATTCTTGTGTGTTTGTTCAACCGTGTGTACTTTACAAAGTCTAGGTCTAGCCATTTTAATTGGAAATTTTGTTCCAAAATCACAATGTGTTGTATGAATGAAAATTAATCCGCTTTCGGGTCCAATGAATTGAGAAGCTTTGTGAATAAATGACAAAAAGGGAGAAAGGTGTTAAATTTACATCTGAGTAATTAACATTCATATTCTTGTTTATTATTCAACGGTTGGTCAAATATTCCAATTTCGTTTATTAGTTAATGGATTGCGGGCTAAAGTTTGATGGTTGGGGAATAATAACAGTTATTCGACATTAACGTTATTATGGACAAGAAGTTCTCAAAATATATTATCGTTATATTTTAAAAACGTAATTTAATTACAGTATTTAATATCTCTGTAATTATAATTACTATAGTATTCAGTCATGTTTTATATTTGCCGTGAGTCTATTTTGTAAAACAAGTGCAAAACCGCGACTTGTTTTACTATTTTATATTACGTAGCCTTTCAATACTTAGCCGCGGACTTAACGGGTTGCCGGGGCTCCGGCTCGAAGTGCATGAGTAGGAACAGGGAGGTTTTTAGCCAGTAAGAGTCTGAAACTTCCAGTCGGGAGAAGTCATTGAGTTTTCCCACATCAAAAACAAAGCCTTTAGTCGTCTTAAAAGAATTTCATGTTATAAAAATAAATAAAACTGTAGGTGTACGTTTTACAAACTACCTTTCAAACTTTTACATTTGTACATTACATAATATCGCAAAGAGCAACAGTTTGATATTTTTTTGCCTAAAAGGTACTGAATTGATTTCAATGTTTGGCATTTACGTGGGATCTGTACAAATACAACAAGATTATTTATATCCCGGTTACAAAGGCGGATCCGTGGGTGTAGTTAGTTAAGCACAATTACAATAATTATAATTCTGTGTACATCCACAAAACGGATCAAATGGCTTTCATACGATAATATTATATCAAAAACATATTGTACGTAAAAGCTGTAATAATTCTTTGGTTATTTATAGATTGCCCAGAGATTATTAACGCCCTGTTGTCTGTGGTGTAAGGGAATCCTCGATTTGGCGCGCTCTGGGAAAATACGTAGGTATAGTTCGATATTTGTGATTGAAAAAGTACCTATAGGCCTACGTATAATGGTTCTTATGAACAATGAAATGTAAGATGATGCTCATAACAGTTTTTATTTTTGGTAATTTTCATGCTTACGAATTTCGAATCTTAACCAACCAAGAACTAGTTTCATTTTCATTTAAATAATATGTTGTTTATCTTACTTTTTAGACACCAATCTATTCTCTTCTACTAATATATGAAAAAAACTAAATCGACCGTGAAATATGAACCAACTGAACTCACTTTAAGTTACTTTTCAATTGAGATAGTTCAAGAACTTTGCGGAACAACTATAGTTATGAACACCATCAATAATATCTTGAACAATAGTAAGTACCACCTGTTCCTATCACGGATTAAGGGCTTTACGGTTAATAAACCGTTCCTAATAAGGTACACAAGATATTCGATATCAAGCTATGACTAATAATCTTACATACAGGGAACGCCAATCATAACTAACTCGATATCAATTGTTCTAGGACTGTCTTTGTTTAGTAAATCAATTTCTGTATCAAACGAGGCATCCATTGTTGTCTTATAGGGATGGGATCGTGCGAGTGAGCACGGATCGTAATGTTATCAATTTATGATAGAACAATATGCTGTTATCTTCTCATTATGACGTAACACAAAATTAATGTTATGTCTATCTGTTTAATGGATGCCTCGTCCTGTTTCGTTTTGTGATCGTTGATATTGGATCTTTTGAATCGAATTGTTTTGATATTGTGTATGAGTTGTGATTTTAATTAATGGAAATTATATTTTGTTAAGTATATTTCAATACATGGAAATTTGCAGAGAGATTAGTTACTCAAGTACGCCAGAATGGCTGTGATTCCGATACAAATTGCAATAGATATAAGTATCTAGATTGTAGTCCGGATTAACACATCAATATTGAGGTTAAAAATGCCTGATTTTATGTCTATATTCATAACGAACAAACTCTAAACTTCTTAAACATATAGTCATTACAAAATTAACGATTCAATTATACCAAGATAATGTCTTTAGCTATATGTATGAATTGCTGTGGCATCAAAGACGAGAAACCAGAGTTTTTATTACGCATTAATTTGAGATGAAAATTATTTTACGATAATACAAGTAAATGTACTTCTCTTCAGCAATGCTCTTAGAAATTTCATTGTTCTAAAACATTTATTATGGCTCATAGTAATAACATTATTTGATTATGTAAAAGATGTGAATGACTGGCCTTGCCAAAGTTAAAGGCCCTAAACCCGAAAAGGGATTGTTTTCATCAAAACGTGATAATAAACTGAGTTCTATTTCAGGGAAATGAAAATAAAAATTGTTTAACACAAAGTTCATTACTTTAGGTTTATCACTTGGGTTTAATTATGATTGTGTTACCATACTTAGCATCATGTATTTTATTTCCGCGAAATGGTATATTTATAATAGACACGCTTTTTCCTTTTAAATACATTTTAGCTTTTAGCCTTATTATAATTCTATAATTTGTAATAAATAGACTGCCTCGTTAGCCGAGTGGTCGCAAGCGTGACTGCCGAGCAATGGGTCTTGGGTTCGATTCCCGGGTCCGGCAAAGTATTACTAGGATTTTTAAAACATTCTCAGTAGTAAGACGGAGTCTAGAAATGTGCCCTGTATATATGGCAATAGGCTTACCCTTTATAAGGGAATTATAACATAAATAGTGAAAAGTTGGTGTTTCATTGTACCGTGGCATTAAGTGCCGTAATGTGCACTATCCTTTCGGGGATAAAGTGCGTGATATTATGTCATAAATAACATCATAATATCATGTAATAAATAGTGTGCAAAATGGTCACAATTTGATGTGCTGATACAAACATTCAAAAGCCAATAATAATTGGACAGATAACAATATATTAACCAAATTCTTGTAGTCAATAATAATCGACCAGATGACAAAAGGTTTCTACTATTTTTCACGAGTTCGTCCTTTTTCCTTGTATGTAACTTTGATTGGCTTTTTCTTATTAGCAAATCGATTAGATAGATTATCATATCCGTACAATATTATTACAGGTACATTCTAACGTTCTACATATTAACTATTTCCTTGACAGTTGCATTATAGGTATTTCTCTAACTTCATTATGCATTAGAATGTATGTATAGTTTGAAACATTGTAAGGCTGTGACCATCAATTGTTGTTTTATGTGCAATATGTAAATGTGTAAGGTCTTACCTATGTCAGGGGTACTTGTGTGATAGATAGCAAGGTTTTATTGCACCTGCTTTAATAGAAAAGGACCGCAAAGTCAATTCACTCATATCCTGCGGATATTGCTGCGAATGTCGTTAAAATAAATGAAGATAGTTTCTTTAAAATTTATATGAGTATGGTTTTGTACATGGGACCAATCACTAGCAAAATTATGGGCTGTGTTTCATTTTTTATCGTTTTTTGTAATATATTATGTTTTTATGTTAGTTGTCTTGGTTTATCGTGTGTAAGTATGCTGAGAATAGATTA